TGGGGGCAGGGCTGTAGCTGCTGTGACAAAGAGCGCTCCCAGTGAGGGCACATAGAGCATAGAGGGAGCACCCCTAGGAGGGGCGCAGTCTGGCTTGGTGGGGTCCCTCTGTCCCACATGGCCACGTGGGGACCTAGGTGGTGCTTTTGCCCCACCCTCCAAGCTGTGTTGGCAGAGAATGTGGTGTGGGGGAGTGCTGGAAGGTGGGCAACAGAGGTGAATGTACAGAACTAAAGCAGCCTTCTGAGAGGGGTAGGAACGGGGTACGACGAGCTCTAGGGCAGTGCTCCCCAAGCCTGTGTCAGAGAACCCTTAGGAAACGACCGCACTTGTTTGGCCCACTGAGCAGGCCTGGGATGGGATTACTTGTGACGGTTGGCCAAGCAGGGGCTGCCCCAAGCCCTGCCCCAAGGGCTGAGGGCATCGGTAACTCAACGCACCTTGAACCCATTTGTGCAGCCACAGTTGGAAAGTTCTATTCTAGCTTTGACCTTAGGAGGGCGGCCGAGCTGAAGGAGCAACAGGATCGTTGGGACCAGGAGGCCGGGGAACAGAGAGGTCAGGACTTGGATCTAAGGAGCAGGATGCTGAAGGCATCAGGGCTGCTGATGGGAGCGGGCCAGAGAGAGTGGCAGGGGGCAGGGAAGGAGGGCGTGGCAAGGACCCCATCCCCAGGCCAGGGGCTGTGGTGTCCAGCAGTGGCCTGAGAGGCTGCAGGGGGAGGGGTGTCTTCAATGCTGGTCAGGCTTATAGAAACCAAGAGGGCAAACATTTGCCAAAAAGTTGGAGGTAAATTCTGTATTTGATTTCCTCTATAAAGACCATGAAATTTTTTACTAGGACAAAAATATTTTCTGAAAGGGATCAACTAAAAGAGAAATTGTCAGAATCTAAAGGTAACAAAGAACTTGAGGCTTTTTCTTATATTGTGCCAAGTTCCAGAAAGTTCTGTTTCCCAAAGAACTTATTCTTCAGTTTGTTTGAACCTATTTGAAGGAAAACTATCTTTGAATAGTAATATTTATTGTTAACTAATATTTATTGTTCACACATGGGAGGCACTGTTCTAAGAGCTTTACATGTATTAACTTACTTAACCTTCATGAGACCCCCTGGGCTCAGTGCCATTATGATCCCCAGTTCTGTATGAATAAAAAGGAACTCAGAGGCTGAGCAGGTTGCCCACGGTCTCACGACTAGTGAATGGCACACACAGAACTCCGACTCGGGGAAGTCTGGCTCCAGAGCCTCAGTCACCCACTGCCCTCAACGTCAGTTCAGGGAAATACAAACATTGGTATTAACAGCGGCCATTTATTGAGCCACAGAAGACATGTTACCTGCTCTTTCCTTCACCTACGTAGCAGCCACCATCTCCTCGTCCATAAAATGGAGATGTTGCTTATCCAAGCTTTCAGCAGAGCCAGGATCCCCTTTTGGCAAAGGGAAGCAGAAAAACGTGAGCCGTGGTATGGGACCTGGGTGAGGGCGTTTCTGAGGTGTGGCCATGAGAAACCAAGCTCACAGGATCAGAGCCGTTTGTTACAGCTTCTGGCTCTTCAAATCGAATTTCTAACAGTGGTCAAGATAAATGTTTATGTGAACCCCAGAAGGCAGATCAAATTGTCCCCACAGCATAAGAAAATAGGCCCTGAGAGGACAAAACACAGTGGCTCAGGAGTACTGGCTCTAGGTCCGCTCCAACCCCAGGCCTGGGCTTCATTCTGGGGGCACACATAGGCCCCCGTTTCCATGGAGCAGGTGAGCACCAGCTCTGGAGGGACTGGATGTCCACGGCCCTCGTTCCTGTGGCACCCCTTTATCTGTCCTTCCTGGTGGGGAGCAAGGAGCTGGAGCAGCCTGGGTGCCCACCTGTCCTTCCCTCTCCTTCCGCAGCCGCCTCCTCGGTGTAGTGGTCCACCTGCAGCAGGAAAATAAGCAGCTGAAGAATGAGCTAGAGGAGAAGAAGGTGAGAGCCGGAAACCCAAAGCCGCACACGGAAGCCCCAGGCCAGGGCGGAACGGGGTCCGCACACAAGGGGAAACCGTGCACCGCCTCAGGCTGGAGGGGGACATCCCTGGACATGGGCCAGAGGTCTTGGGAAGTCACCGAGTTTGTCGGTGTGCCCCACTGCTCAGGTATGTCTGCCATTTGTCTTTTTGCTACTTCCTATAATGTCATTAGTCCTGGGGGTCAAAAAAATCTTAATAATGACAGCCCAATAATACTTTCCAAGAGATCACTGGATCGGAAGACCAAATAGGGTTAAAGAAAGCAGATGTTTTGCTTAGTTCCTCTGGGCCAGAGGTCAGTGCTCATCTGTAGAGGGAGGAGACCAATGAATTAGGCTCATTCTGATCTGAGAACCCTTGACGACGCCCCGGTACCTCAAACGCAGACCTATCCCCACCCACCCAGGTCCTTTGGGACATGTGGGACAAGGGGGACACAGGCAGGACAGGCATCTTCCTTCCGTGACATGTCCTGGAAACCCCACAAGCGCCGCGTCCCCTGCCCAGCCTGAGGCCACAGCTCTCTGTTCTGCCACCTACAGACTCTATGTTACTCCTGAGGGAAGAATTCACCCCGCCACAGAGCTGCCTAGCCAGGAGGCCGGTCCTTGAGGAAGTGGCCTTCTTAATTCCTCCACAAATCAAGCCTGTGATTTCCTGTTCCCTCAGATTCCTCGTATTGATAGAATCAGCGCCCTGCCCTGAGCACCATCTCTACCACGTTTTTCAGAGGACAGTGAGTTCCCATCCCTCTCTTGACTTGGATTAGCTTTTATGGGCATACATCAAGGTCTCAGCCTATTTTGCAAGACACTAACATTTCATTGAGTTTTGTCCACTTCCTGCAGTGGAGTGAGGCTTGGAACCATACTACCATCTCCGGGCCCAAACCCTAAAATAAAGACATGAGCAGAGCAATCCTGGTGAGCTCTTGGGGACTTGAAGACATCTCTGCCCCTCACGCCCCCAGCAGCACATTCATTCCTGTTTTCTCTGGATTCTGAAAGACAAGGGGCTCTTCCACACGTACAGGGAAGCCATCATCCCCAAAGCAAGCTTCTAGATTAGTTTTTAAACCAAGAGCTAATTAGCTCCTTTTTCATCCTTTCTGCCTCTAAAATTTAAGAAGGAAAACATCTAAAAACCTCAAAAAGAAAGTAATCCTGAGACCCAAAAGAAAAGAAGATAAATAAGTGATACATTTCCCAAATGCGGAAGGAGAAAGAGCCATCTGCTTTCTCCTTGGCCCCCATATTACATTGCCCCTTTTAACAATTTTATTTTTCTCCCCAGCTAGCTCAATACAAGTACAATTCCATTATAACAAACTCCAAGGACAGCTAAACTATTTACTTGTGGTAGGATTTTGTTAAACTGAGTAATGTCTAGAATTTATATTCCTAATCTGTAGGAAATTGAAATAGCTACTAAGGTAAAATAAGAGAAAGAAATGAAAGGGCTTGCATTTGGAAAGGGAGTTGGAGGACCAGAAAAGTGAAAGAAACCCACTAGTTGGTAATGATTCTTAAATATTCTTGCTTCCCTCCCCAGCCAACAAAAGGTAAGAAAATTCCCTGCTAATAGCAACATGTCACATAAGATGCCCCTGCCTGCCAGGGCTTGGGAAGGGAAAATTCCAGAAGTGCCACGTGAGGCAGAGTGAAGGGCATTTCTAGTAGTTTCTGTTGTGATGGTTGTTCTCCCATTTGGTTTCGAGTAAGGATATTATTTTCTAGAGAAAACAAAGAGTAAAGAATCTGATACTAATGAAACAGCTTCCTAGTTCTAGCCTGTGGGCTCATTTATTCTAGCAAAAGTTCAATGTCATTAAAATCCCCAGCACAATCCACTCAGAAGGCATTTTGTCTCTATAATTTACAAAAAGGTTTAAAATTTTTAGCCAAAGTGACAACAGTGGGATTCTTGGAATGCTGTACACTTTCAAGTTTGTCTTCCACTTCCCATGGGGTGATTACAGCGGAGCAAAGCAGGCATTGAGTTACAGGGGCAAAGGGGCAGCAGAGCCAGAAAAACAATGTCACCCAGCCAGCCGGCCTTGCGAGCCCAGCTAGGCAGGTGACCTGACCGAGGACAGCGGCTGGGCTCCGAGAAATCTAGTTTCTCTAAAGATAAGAGAACCGGCAAGGAAGCTGAGTGTTGCCTGCTTAGAACTCTTTAAGAAACAACCAAAGGAGTTCCTTAAGAAGTAGTTTGAACAGCTGATTTAATAGAGTCTCTGGATGATACTATAATGGTGGATACATGTCATCATACATTTGTTCAAACCCATCCAATGTACAATATCAAGAGTGAACCCTGATGTAAACTATAGGCTCTGTAGGACAATGATGTTGTCAATGTAGGTTCATCGATTTAAACAAATGAACCACTTTGGTGGGAAATGTTGATGGTGGGAGACAATGGTGGGGGAGGCTGGGTGTCAGGGGAGTATGTGGGAGATCTCTGTATCTCCTGCTCAATTTTGCTGTGCACCTAAAACTGCTCTAAAAAAAATTACAAAAAAGTAAAAGGAAATGCTTATGAAGCCAGGACTTAACCAAGGGGATTATAAAAAAAAAGTAAGTGCTTTGGCCACCCAGTGGGAAGGTGTCACTGAGATTCTGGTGGCTGGGGCCCACAGAACCCTTTGTGATAGACCCTCTTCTACCCACCCAGAGTATAATTCTTCTCCCCCTGAACTAATGGAACCCAGAGCAAACAGCAGCCGCCTCAGCCCACCTCCTTACTAAAGGGAAGGGAGAGCAATGTGCAACCACCACGTTGCCACTTAGGCACTTGTCTTTTGAGCTTTCTCTGTGTGGCCCAACTGAGGGGGCAGCTTCCTGCCATAGATAGGGCCTGGCAAGCCAGCTCTGGGGTCCCTAGAATGAGCCTGCTATTTCTAATGTGTCTAAAGTACCCTATTACTGTCAACGAGGCATTCAAGGATAAATGCAAGTGATTGAGAGCTAAGCAGGGGACCCCTGTAAAGACACCCAGTTCAACAGCCTCAGTGTTCCCTCATACCATGAAGCCTGATAGCCATTTCAAGGCCATTGTCACAGAAATGATTTTGTACCTCTAGAAAAAGAATCTGTTATCATCTGAGGAAGAGATGGTGAGAATCAGCATATTAAAGCTGAAAGAAACTTTTAAGGTGTATCTGAATGGAAAGGGTCCATAATTGAAGAGAAAACATTGGAGACACAGGTCCAAACAGACTCCTAGGAAGTCCCAATACCAGAACAGATTCAGGGGGAGTCCCTGGGGGGCAGGGACCTCCTCACTCATCCTAGAACACCTGTGTGTGCCAGGTATCCTTCACCAGGTGTTACTTGCTTTTAAATTAGAAGGTTGGACTGGACTTGTGGTTTTCATCTCCTCCTGGCCTCATTTTTCTGATCTAAAGGACTTGCAGGTAAGTTTGTGACCAAGGTCACGGCCTGTTAGTAATAAAGTCGTTAACTAGAACCTTAGTCTTTTTTCTGTTCTGTTGCATCCTGACCCCAAGTCTGCAGAGATCACACACCCAGCTTACTTCTCTCTCCAGAGCAGGCAGACACCTTCTCCAGGCCCTTCTACCTGGGGCCAAGATTAGAAGCCTTCCCAGGCAAGCAACCAGAAGTCCTATCATCTTCCTCCACAGCTGCGAAGTCAGTTTCCATCTGCATTCCCAATAAAGGTGGTTAGAGGTAAAAAGAATTGAAGTAGTGGTGGTAACCGGTGCTGGATCACAAAGCCTGGCTTCCCAACTCACCCAGAACATTGACCTAAGTTTTAACTTACATTGAGCTATAACATGGGGATTCCAATTCCAGGAACAGAGAGAGAAAGAGAGCAGAGCCAACAGCCAGCAGCATGAGCCAGGCACCCAGGGGGTGGCGCTGAGCTCTGGTCTAGTATCACCCTGCTTCAGTCCCAAGCCCGTCGGTGACTGCGCCCCAGCACAGAACCTTGCAACCTGCACACCTGGCAGAAGCCAACCCTAGGGAATCACACAAGGAACATAGGTGACACAAAGGACCAGATTATCTCAAAAGCCAGCTCAGTGGACTTAGGCTACTTAACAGAAAAGACTCGTGATTCCAGCGTTAGGGTCATCTTTTACCTGAAAAGCCATCAATAAGCAACATTTCACTCTATTTCTGTCAATACACAGCGACCTCCTGCCCGCCTCCTTCCAACTTCTGGGCTGCTGGCTGGCCTTGCCCTGCCCATCAGCCTCAGGAACAGGTGGGCACCTCAGGGCTTGGTCCACCCACTGCCCCAGGCCATTGTCCTTCCCTGTCGGCTATGTCCCACCCTGCCAACCTAGAGGTGCTGCCTTAAGGCAAGCTAAGGTTCTAGGAGGATCCATCTAAGGAAAATCAATCAGGTCAGGGTCCTGGCCGTCTTCTCTTTAGTATGTGGTTTAGGGTGGTGAGGGAAACGGGAACAGTCAGAAATGCAATGACATTTTACAAACAATAAATTTATTTCCAAATCCTGAATTATAACCAAATTACAATTCCTTCTAGGTCTATTTTACCGCTTTACACAGGAACTTTAAAAAACATAGTCATGGCCAAGTCTTTTATACAGCAAGTGTCCAGGGACAGTTTTCCTGGCTGCGACGGGTCCAGCCACTTCCCCAGCAGCTCCTCGGCTGCTCTGCCCCACGCCTGCGCTGAGGCGCTCCTACTCCCTCCACTGCAGAGCTGGGCCTCAGCAGCACTTCCCCCAGGGGCCCAGACGCACACAGGCGACAAGGTTTTGTCAGGACGCCCGGGGTGCTGAAGCCAAGGGCTCAGGACTCCATAGCTGGCTTCCATCCTTTGCAAGGACAGCCTCAGCTCATAGCCCAAAGCGGGCTGGGGTGCGGCGAGGGGTCGTGGGTTCCCCTTGCTCTTTCCGACCTGGGGTGTAGATCTTTGTAGACCTGGAGGCACAGAAAGAGAAGTCGGGAATCACACCGCTATTCACTCCAACCAGAACACACTGTAGGACTTGGGATTTCTGCCTGGTGTGTCAACAGGCTTTGGGACAGGAAGGGTCTTCTCCCCCAGCACGCTTCTACTCCCCAGGTCCCCATTCGTGATGGGGAGCAGAATAAGACTCCGCCTCACTCTGACATCCACTAAGGACTGCTGTGAGAGAAGATTTTTTAACCACTCCTCTTACACCCCATAGGTGAGCTACGGAGGTAGCCTTCTGTCCACCTCGGCAGGCCACCACTCCAGCTGTGCAATGAAGAATCTGGCTAGCGTTTGTCCCCAGTTCCTGGGAGGCAATCTCTAAACCCTTGGGATTTTCTGAGGGATGGGAGTGCCTGTCATTCACAGTGGGCCCCTGGACCACACCTGAGAGCCTGCACTAATGAGATGACTCAGGATTAGGGCTGGCTCTGCCAGAAAGACCGACCATGGGGTCAGAGGGCTGTGCTCGGAACCAGCCTGGTGCCAGCCCAGCCTCTGGGCAGAGAAAGGGGTCTGGACATTGAGTTAATCACATGGGTTTTGATTCAGTCACTCGTGGCTATGTAATGAAATCCCAATAAAACTCTGGACACTGAAGCTCAGGTGAGCCTCCCTGCTCGGCAAAGCTCTGATACCCTCACACGTCAGTGTGCAAGGAGGGTAATGTGGCCATGCGAACAATGGAAACCTCGCCTTTGGGACCCTCCCAGAACTCTCTAGGCATCTCTCCCTTTGGCTGTTTCTGACTGAATCCTTTTGCTACAATAAACTGTCTTTTTAAGTATAGTACTTTCCTGGTTCTATGAGTGGTTCTGACAAATTATCAAATGTGAGGGAGTCCATGGGGTTCCCCAAATTTGTAACACAAGTGAGAGTGTCTGAACTTGCGGCCAGTGTCTGAAGTGAGGGCAGACCCGTGCAGGACTACGCCCCCACCCCGAGAGGTTCCACCCAACTCTGGAGCAGCAGACACAGGCGCTCCGCCCTCCGCAGTGAAGCTGGAACCACTGCAGACCCTCAGTACAACAGAACAAACGATGACTGGGGGTCAGGGATGCACCACAGCCCCTTGAAGATGGGTCTGGAACCCCTCCCATGTCCCCACATGACCACAGTCAGCTTGTGTCACCAATTCACGACACATTCAACATCTTTTCCATCACCATCCTGCCTTGGGGCCTGGCTGGCTTCTCAGGATGGTCCCTGGGGCCTCCCAGGGGCCGGCTCCATCCTGGCCAGAGTCCCAAGGCTGAAGCTCACCTGACACTGCCCAGGGGGCTGCGCTTTTCCTGCTCCTGCCGCCGGGCTCGCAGCTGCTCCTCGGCCAGCGCCATCTCCTCCTCCATGGCAGACGCTTCCTCTTTGGCCCGCCGGCGGTTCTCCTAGAGAAGAGTGAGAGAGGTGCTGACGACCGCTGGGGACAGGCAGGTGAGGCGGCCTCTACACCCACCTTCCCACTGCAAGCCAGGCGCTGTGCAGATGGCGATGGCACCCAGAGGCCCCTGCCCCAGCACTGAAGCCATCTTTCCTTCTGAGGCTGAGGCTACTTTTCCCACTGACTCAGGACAGACACTGCATGACTCAGTCCTAACTCTGTCACCAATGGACCCCCCAGGCAAGCAGAACCTCCATGGAAAGTGAAAGATCCTTACCTGCCGAGATTTTCCTGCCTGTTTGACACTGTAGAACATGGGCCCCAGCTCTGCTAGCCACTCTCCATCCACAGCAGTCACACACTGCATGTACTCCTGCAGGCAGAAGGGCCAGTGTCGTGTTCACAGCCAGCCAACGCTGTCCCCCCCAGCACCACTCCACAATTAGATGTGTGCGAAGGGCCCTCCCCCCAGCCCTGTGAGGCAGAAAAGGGCAGAGAAGACCGGACAATGGAATTTTATTCCTTTCTCACATCCAGATCCTCCAAGCTGGAAAAAATGCCCCTCAGTATCCCTCGAAAAACCCTGCTAATGACACCAAGAGGAATTGCTCATCCCAAGCCACATGTAGGAAAGAATACTACTGGCACAGCCGAGGCCCCTGTAACCTAGAGGGTAAAGGTTACTCTGTGCAAGCTTCCCAAGACCCCAGATGAAAACTGTCAGCTCCCCACAAAGCAATGCAGGTGCCTCAAGTCTCCCGGGTGCAAAGTTCTTCCCAAAGGGCAGGGAAGGGTTACAAAGGCCTGGCCCAGGCAGGTAGGCCTGCCTCATACTAGCTGTCTTGGAAAAGACTCACCTTGGTCGTCATGACCAACTCATGATACACTATGTAGTCCGGAGTATAGCCCATTCCAAAGAGGGAGCTGGTGGGGTGCAAGTGGCAGGGCATCCCTGTCCGGATATTCACATACTCCCCGATTCCCTAGGGGGAGACACGACAGGTGGCCACGTCAGAAGGCTGCTGCTCATTTGGGCAGCACCCCATCCCTTACAGCACTGTCTGCCCACATTTGCAGAACTGTGCAGCAGGAAAGGAAGAACTTTGTGCTGGTGTAAGTATCAGGCCTGGGAGGGGCCACAGGGCCACCAGGCTCCTCTGGGCTCACCTTGAGCTTGGCTGCCTGGTGGAAATAGGCAGCACAGATACACTTCCTGACGACGTCCCAGTCAGTGCCACACGAGGCCAGACTCATCCGCTGCTGCACCATGATGTCCTTGAGCTGAGCCCGCACCTCCCGGACCTAGAGCAGGACAGGGTGGGCAGGCAAGGCTGGAGCCCTCCTTTCTCACCTCCCACCCCACCCCAGCACCCTGCTTATATGGACCACTGCCCCCACCTTCCGCATGGCCTTGGCGTGGATGAAATGATCATTACACCAGATGGTAGAGTAATTATTGTTCTTCCACTGCAGGTAGACATTCAGGTACGTCAAATGATCGCTCTCGGGAACAGCAAACTTCTCCCGGATTTGATCGCTCTCCTCCTCCCGGCCCTGAGAAGACAGAAGGGCCTTACTCTAACTAGGCAGGGAGTCCAGCTCTGCTGAGAAGATGCAGAGGTACTCACCCTGTCACCTACCAACACATGTAACAAATATGTCAATATGCTGCCCTAACAATGTAGGGAAAATAGTTTATGACAAAATATTTAATCTAAAATGTGAGGGTTCAGGCACAACCATACTAGAAGATAAAACATGCTTTTGCAAATTTTCCAAAGTACAAACTGAGAGCCATTGATCTAGCCCATCCTTTCCCCTACCCCAAGCTGCTTAACAGAAAACAGCAAAACCATTCTTTGGGCACTCTGACTCCTGCCCCTCCATCCAATTTTAACACTACAAAGAGAAACTACTCCCCTCTCTAATCCTTCCTCAAGCCCACGAACAGCCCAAGGCTGCTGAGCAAAGAGCTGGACACCATCTCCCCACCTTCGGTCTGTAGAAGATGGCCGGGACCGAGAGCATGGAGACAATGAGCAGGATTTCGGAGCTGCAGCCCATGTCACAGGACACAATGAGCATCTTGGACAGGGCTGGGTCCAGCGGGAACTCCACCATCAGCCGCCCTGTGGAGGTCAGACCACCTAGGAGAGAGGAACAATCCAGATATTCAACAGACACAGCGGAGCCAAGAAGGAGAGACCCTAGTGGCCAGCGGCTGCAGCACCTGTGTTGTCTAGGGCGCTGAGGATCCAGAGCTGGTACATGGAGTTGAGCATGTTGTCCTCAGGAGGCGGGTCCATGAAGTGGAACTGCAGCAGGTCCTGCACACCGAGGGACTTGAGCAGCAGCACCACGTTGGCCAGGTTGGTCCTCTGGATCTCGGGCACCGTGGTGGTCAGGAGCTCATTCTTGTAGGCGCTCTGGGTATACAGCCTGCCAGGGAGGAGACCAGGGGAGTGCTGCACCCCTCCGACATGCTGGCTGCCTGCGCCGTCCCTGGGGGGGGACCAGTGCTCTCTCCCAGAACAGCCAGTACAGATGAAGCCACCAGCAGGGAGGAGAATTTCTCATTTCTTCCCCCGACCTCCCATTTTCTCTTTGAATCATGAACTTCCACCTATTCAAAATGCAGTCCTGCCAATCCATTCTTCTGCTGAAATTCCCTATGCATCTGTCTCACTTCTGGAACCAATGACCCTGGGACTAGAATTATGGCTGGATATTATTTTCTTTATATTTGTGTGTATTTTCTGAATTTCTATAGTGAGTATGTTATTTTTTAATTCAGGAAAAACAAAAAGAGAACAACTGAAAAAGTTAAAAAGAACCAATGAGGTAATGTGTTCCGTACTATCACCTGAAGGGAGGCGTGCTGTAATCACTGGTCTGCCACTGCAGGTAGCTTCAACCTAGGTCTGCCTGAAACCCAAGGCTGCTCAGACCTCAGAGCTGCCTGGAAAGGCTACCTCTTCCACTAGCAGCTATGAGAAGAGGACCACTGAGTGGCAGCCCCAACATCGGTTCCCCGCCCCGGGGCTCAGCTCTAGGGCCGGCCCCCCTCTGCTGGATCACAGTCCGATCCCCCCGCCCCAGCCCAGGCTCCACACTCAGCAATCCCAGCGCTGCCCCAGGAAGCAGGCTAGCACAGGGCTCCTACCTGAAACACTGACCTGGGCCCGTCCTGCCGGCTCGCCCCGACCGCTGGTTGGCATTGGCCTGGCTGATGGGATAGATCTGCAGGGCATCCATGCCAATTCTGGGATTGAAGACCTAGAAAGAGGGCAACAAAAAGCTGATTAAGGACACAGTGAGGGATGAAATGGCAGCAGCCTTGAGACAAAGACAGACAAACCCTGGTTGCCACATTATCACAAGCAAACTATTTAGCGATGCAGGCAGCCATCCTTTTAAAGCCAGGGAACTCAAGAAATTTCCCCACAAATACCAGCGCTGTGATCTCTACTGAGTTATTAAATCATACACCTCACAGAGTTTTTGTCACAAGGATTAACTGAATCAAGCACATGGCAAAATCAGCACTCAAATGTTAGCCTCTTAAATACCACCCAGACCTCCGTGTGCATCCCTCATGGGCTGAGGACGCCAGGCCTGCCTTCCCACTGCCGAAGCCGAGTTCGCTTTGGGGGAAGGCCCAGGGCCCCAGCGACTGTGTCTTCTCTTACCTTCAATTTACAGTAACCAGAATCGATGACAAACATGATACCATCGACAGTCAGAGATGTCTCAGCAATGTTCGTGGCAACAATACACTTCCGAACGCCATCTGGAGCCTAGAGTCAGGCAGGATGTGCAGGGAAGGTGGGCTGTAGGCCCTCAGGCAAGAAAGACTCCACAGTGGGAAGTGCACCCCACCCCTGCCAGAGAGTAACTGCTCTCTCTCCTGCCCTCCTTTGCAGGAAAATCTGAGGAGACCCAAAGGTTGGGGACCCAGGACAGACATTCTTGATGTCACACCTTCTGGAAGATTTTGGCCTGAAGGTCAGAGGGCAGCTGGGAGTAAATGGGCAGCACGGCCAAGGCAGGTGCATTCTCCAGCTCCTCCAGATGTTCCACAATCTGGTCTGAGGTCACCTGAGGGCACAGACAGGAGCCGTGAGACACCAGAGTCCCAAAATCTCATGTGCAGGATACACCCAGTCATGACACCGTGACAACACACGCACCTCAATGTCCTCTTGGCCCGGCATGAAAATAAGGATGTCCCCGGGGGCTCCTGACAGGTGCACCTGTAAGGACTGCTTCACGGCGGCCTCCACATAGTCCTCCTGTGGGGTCTGCAACACCAGCCAGGGACAGGGACACCCTCAGAGGCAAGTGCAGCGCACCCCTCTGGGAACCAGCAGCCAGTCACTAGTCAGGGGCTCAAGCCAGCAGTCACTCAGGGATGCTGTACCTGTAGATGGCCTGGCTGCCTTCCCTGAACACCACACTTCCACTCCCAAAGAAATAATACAACAAAACCTCCCCAGAGCACAGTTCTTTGTCTCCGAGTCCTGGAGCTGCAGGCTACCCCAGCCTCCCCAACGCAGCGACAAAGCTTTTCCTAACTCAGTACCCTACCCCATGCCCTCCAACAGAGGTCAGGGTCAGGTCAAAAAAAGGAGACCTCAGTACCTTGCTGAAGAGGATGTCAACAGGGAAAGTACGACCAGGGATATAGAAGATGGGAACATTCCCAAAAAAGGCAGCAAATTTCTCTGCATCCATAGTGGCCGAAGTGACAATGAGCTTCAGGTCTGAACGCCGAGCCACCACCTAAGGAGAGAGGTTGGTCAGAGGCTCCCCCATAAGCTGGGATCCCTGAGCTTCCACCCTCCAGTCACTCCAGCATTGCTCCCAAATGAAACAGAAACCAAAGCCGACAAACTGGCACATTCAATTCACCACAGTCCTGAAGGCAGAACCCACGGAGCCACAGCCAAGAGAGGCGTGAGTCACTCAGTGGCGCAAGGACAGGGTAAGCTACACCGCCAGGTCTGAGGCCGGCAAGCTCCGGCCTGTCAGAGACCCCAGCCCGCCTGGAGGACCTGGTTCACCAACTACTGGCGGCACTGATCAGAGCGATGGGCACAGAGGGACTGGCCCCACAGCCCTCACCTCCCGGAGCAGCCCAAAGAGCACGTCGGTGTTGAGGGAGCGCTCGTGGGCCTCGTCCATGATGATGGCGCTGTAATGATCCAGGTCCGCTTCCCGGAGGGACTCTCGCAGCAGGATCCCATCAGTCATGTACTTGATCAAGGTGTTTTCTGAAGTACAGTCTTCAAAGCGAATGGCATAGCCCACCTGGAGCAGGGGAGAGATGGCTCAGAAGACCTCTAGCACAGCCCACACCGGGTCCACGCCTTAGCAGATCGGCTCAAATGGACGGAAGCTTCCAGGCAATAACTACAGAGCTCAGCCCTCACGGCCACTCACCTCCTCACCAAGACTTCCCCCCATCTCTTCACTGACTCTCTTGGCCACCGACATGGCGGCCACACGCCGGGGCTGGGTGCACCCAATCATCCCATAGTCCGTGTAACCGTCTTCATGCAAGTACTGGGTCAGCTGTGTGGTCTTACCGCTCCCCGTCTCCCCGACAACAATCACGATGCTGTTATCTCTACAAGGGAGAGGAGGCAAAGGGAGAGGAGGCCAGAGTGGGGCCACCTCCGAATGTCCAACCCCCGCATCTGGCTGTCCAAGAAGCACACCTGCTTAGCGAGGACAGTTTCCCCAGAACGACAGCCCCCAGACCGAGACACCACGGGGAACGTCCAGGAGACAGTGAGGTTCAAACAAGTGAACGGCAACAAAATGATGCCATCTTGTTTGCTTTATGCAAAGTCGCCCAGGGAACCCAGGTCAGAGACAAAAATTCTTTCCCTTTTCCACCAGATGTAAAGCCCAAAAGGAAAAGAGCTACTGAGTAAACACAGGAGACGAAGGAAACCTCCGATCCGATGCTGGAGCTCTGGGCCGAGCGGCGGATTACCTGATAATAGTGAGGAGTTCCTGCTGCACAGCAAAGATGGGCAGGTACTGTCTCTGCTCCAGAATCGACTTCTTTTTTGCGAATTCGCTGCTGGCTTCACTTTTTTTCTTCATGTGATCTGCAAACTTCTGCTCTGTCCTGAGAACACATGGCAGCCTAAGCACCCCACATGATCTCCCACATTTTCCTTCCTGACTGGGTCACTGCCCTTCCTCCTTCACCCAAGAACCACCACCACTTCAACAAGGTGTGGCAAAGCTTTGGGACACTAGAGCAGCCAAGTATTCTGGGCTGTTTCTTTTCTCCTCGGGCCTAAGGGACCAGAACAACTGTCTGAGAATCCATCATCCATACATAGCCAACACCCCCAGGGTCAAACAGAGCTGAATATGACTCAGGGGAGTGACAGATCAGCAAGTGGGCAAATCCTCTCCCCCACAAAGGGTTTGACCAGAAGAGTAGCTAAGTCAGAGGTCATCACCTTGTCCGGAATACCGTTGGGCAATTTTGGTACAACCTTTAAAGGGCTAAAAGCAGGAGTCCCGGTCACAGAGTCAGGGCCAAGGTCAGATCTCCTCCCTCCTCTAGGCAGGAAGCATAGTCTGTAAAGCTTTATTTTCAAAGAACTGTAAGACCAACCCCTTTAATATTTACCCACAACTTCTACTGAAAGCACTCAAATAACTGACACGTGTATACATCCCAAGACTCAAAAGCACTGTGTAATTTTCCAAAGACCACATAGCAAAAGAGAGCAGCTCAGCACTGCTGAGGCCGGGCAGTCCCCACCCAGCCCTGCCCCAGGAGACTCGTGGTTAGATCCACCCGTGCTCTGTCAGGCTTCCTATTTCTAATTGCACAGTCATTCCTAGCTAGCTAATAATTAGTGCCTAAGAGATTAAATTCACTAGGGACCAACAAGGGCTGATCAATACCACCAACTTCTCATTTGGCCATTGCTCACAGGGGTTCAGAGAATTAGTAACTCAGTGACAGTTCAGTAGGACATCAGAGTCCAGCCACCTACCCTATGTGGGAATCCCAATGAGCAGTTACCCAACATCTGCTTAAATACCTCTACGAACGGGGAAGTCACTACCTGATAAGACAACACTATTTTTGAACCTCTGTTAAAAACTGGATGAACTGAAATCTAAAGAAGGCACATCCCACCTTCCTGCACTGAACTCCTGAGAAGCACTTTAGCAGAGTGGCTACCAGAGTGGGCTCCAAAGCTAGATTGTTGGGTCTTATCCTGATGCCATTTACTAGCTGGGGGACCTCACCCCTAACCTCCCTGGGCCTCATTCTCCTCCCTCAGTGAGCAAGTATCTGTGAGGTGTTCAACACTCTCTGGCACAAAGGAAACCCCTATAGTAGCAGGGGCGACAGTAGGAAACATCTAGAAAAAGTTGAAGATGGTTTAGGAGGGAGACCAGGAAGAAGGGACCAGAAGACACCAGAAGACTCAAAGTGCCATCAGTCCTGTTCGCAAGCCATGAATTCTGTCGGTTCCTCTGCGAGTGCCCTTGAGGGACCCAGCCTTCGGAGGCAGGCCACTGTCGGCGAGGCTCCTACCGGTAGTCCACTTTCCCGTCCTCTGTCAGAGCTTTATCTGGCTCCTCCTCTTTTTTCACACCCATTATATCTCCCAGCTTGGTTCCAGCCAGCTCCCAGTGCTTGTGTTGAGCCTGAAAAGGACGTGGAAAGCAAGTCAGCTCCACCTTGCTCACAAATGTGTCTATGGGAACCCGAGCTGCCTGACAAGAGGCTTCACCTAGCGGGTGGTAACCCCAGCAGGCAGCAGTGGCACCAAGCCACACACCCCAGGCCTCAACCTCAAGCTCCCACGTCACGCCCTGTGCTTGTGTTTACAAAGGCACTGGTGGAGGGAAGCAACGCCCTCCTCCACGGGCTGATTCTTGCTCTGTGAGTGTCCTCTACCTTCTACAGGAACCCTACCTGAGATCCAATCGGATTTTAAAAAGGAGAAAACAGAGGAAGCACGCAGAGCCCCCCGGCCCCAGGAGACCAGAGCCCACCTTCCTGCGCTCCTTCTGCTCGCGGTGCCTCCGCACCGTCTGGCTGCCCTTGCGAGCTATGACGGCCAGGTCCGAAGTGGCATCCTTGACTGGAATCACAGGCTCTGGCTGTGGCGGGATGGGGAACAGAGAAGCTCCCATCATCCCTGGCCTCCACGAGAAGGCCCACTGCTTGCACGGCCGCCCTAGTCAGTGAAAGGGGTCGCCGCCCTGCCGTGGTGGGGACTTGTTCCCTGGCCTCCCCCTTCTTTCTTTATGAGGTCTTTCTGAGCTCTCTTCTCTCAGGCCACAGAGGAACCTCACCTGCTTAGTGAAGACAATGCGCCCATCCAGAAAGGGGGGCACCAGGTTGTGCACCATCAGATGCACCTTAGCTGCACTGTCCTCTTCGAAGTCCTCGTCCACCTCCAGCCGCTGGACGACCCCACTGGTGAGCATGCGGTTGGCCTCCCAGCGCTCATTATCCTGTGATGACACAACAGGGGCCATGCTCAGACTGTACCCACAGGCCATCCTGAAAGGCCACCAGGGAAGACCACACATCAAGTCTAGAGAGAAGGGTCATGGGGCTACAGAGGTGGCACCGGCCTCTCCACCCTGAAGCTCCTTAGACAGAAGAGCTGCTGATCCCAATCACCTGCTTTTTCCAAGAAGCAGCACTTTCTTTCTAAGTCAGAACCTCTGCGTGGACATACAGATGGTGACTGTCACGAGCCCCATTCAGAGGCAAAGAACACACAGACCCCTGAGCCAGGCCCCACCCTACCAGTTCCCATCAACAGCACCCCACAAGGAAGGGCTGCAAAACAGGGAAGTCAGGAGTTGGAGTTTTCTCCTAAGCTACTGGAAAGTTCCACACTCACTCCTCCACCTCCAGAGGCATCCCTACATCTGGTACCTCAGCAACGGGGAGACAAGCTGTGCCATCCTCACAGGGACGTGACCCGCTGCTTCTCCCACATGCCCCCAGCTCCAGCTGAACCTGCCCCAACCACTGCAGGCAGCCTCACCTCGTTGATCTGTCTCCGCTGGGCCGAAATACGCTTCTGCTTCTGTTTGTGAAGATGCTGCTCCCGCCGCCTCACGTAGTCCTCAGAGGAGCAGGCCAGGGGGTTATGGAACTCATCATATCCCTCATCCATCATGTACCAATCCCGGTCAGCTTGCTGCAGGACGTGAGACGAGGCAGTGAGAACAAGGGACAGATGGCTTATGCACAAGACATGGTCCGAAGGGGAGGAGATGTTTGGTAAGGCATCACTGGCGCGGTGGAGCAACCCTCGCGAGAGGTGCAGAAGCGATCACCCGCTCCAAGATGAGCTTTCTGGAGGAGAGCTGCAGTGCCAGCTGTATGCACTAAGCCTTTAAATGGCTGACCATGACAGCACTTCCCAGATGTACCGCGTGGTGGCACCAACACAAATGAAGACCTTAGTTCTGACCTGCACTAGGTGGGACGTTTCCCCTGCAGCCTGGGCCTCTGGAAAGAGATTCCAGGGCTTTGACACATAACAAGGCTCAGCTTCCCTGAAACTGTCCAGTGTCAACCGCCCGCATCAAAGTCCAGTTCCACCACAGCATCACTCATGTCCTTGTACTCTGACATCTCTTGCTGCCCACCCACTTATGGTGGCCTCATTTGGTCCCTCCAAGGTGTCAGGTTTTTATCCTCTGGTTATCCTCCCATTGCTGCCGTTCCTCTTCTGTGTCAAACGAAATTCCTTCTTTGCCATCCTCACGGCGTCCTACAGGGGAACATGTAGCAGGTGAGTCCACACAACCCCAGCTTCTCTCCAGTGGCCACAAATAGACTGCAAAGCCACACAGCTCCAGAGCTCTGTGCAGCCTCACTGGAATGAGCAGCCCTGCTTTGCTGCCTCCTACTTCCACCGGCCTTACCTCAGCCCCTGGACAGACGGGGTGTGGAGCCCAGGTGTCTTCTGTCATCAGCCCACTCATTGTATTTGTAGGATGGGGTTGGCACAGGTGTGTCATCTGAGTACCTGCTCCTCACAGACTGGGAAACACCAGAGTCAGTATCACCAGCAGTCACTAAGCTGAGCCATGTTCCCAGCCGTCATCTGCCCTCCCAGCCCAGACTGCTCTGCCCTTATCAGGCCCGCCCTCTGCCACCCACCCAGAGAAACTGGGCTGTTCCACCCAGAACATCACCTATCCCGATCACGGCTGGACAGCCGATGGCTCCGCTCAGAATCCCGATAGGAAGGTGTTGGGGAGGGTGATTCCCACTGAGAGCGCCTTGAGGAGCCACTGTCCTCTTCCTCCCACGTTGACCTTGAAGGGGTGGCTGCATCTGGAACCACAAAAGACACATTCACAGGATGCATCCAATTTAACCGGCGCTTGATTCTAGAACTACTAGCCAAAAGTCAATTCCCCAAATTTCTTTCTTTTACCACTTATGAACTTGTTGTAATGGGTAAGATAGTTCTGACAGTTTTTAAAGATAACTGAATTTTAACAGTTCAGTTTTATAACATTTTATCTGTGTATAACGTTTTAAGGAATATCTAATTTATCTCTACAAACATACCCCTCTGGAATATAAATCATTCTTTTTAATAAATCCTTTTTCTGTTCCCCAGGTCCCTATTCTTTCTTGCCATTTGGAAAACTGGACATTCAGCAAAGCAGCCCAGCACCTTAAATCCATTGCAACAGAGAGAGGTCCAGGGCCTTCCCACAACACTCAGAACCAAGTATTCCAAGAAATTCATGGTGAAATCAGGAATTCTGACTTGGCCCACAACAATCCCACTGAGGATGGGGGTCGCTCAACCTGCCTTTTGTACTTGACCCCTCACAACAACAGCAACGGCTCGGTTTACCTTTAGGCTGGTGTTGCGGGCTCTCTGGTTCATTTCTTCTGCTGCGCTCCGACCCTCCATCTCACTCCGATCTGCTGCTATGCCTGCTTCTATCCCGTTCATCTGTCAAGAGTCACACACAGAGTTTAGAAAACATGTGCCCCGCCCTAACTTCCACCCGTCTTCACCCTAGAGAAAGGACAGGCCTTCCAACTCACTCACAGGTGCAACCTGCACTGCTCTAATGCGATCCATGGGCTCCTGAAACTCACATATCCCCATTCTTTCAAGGGAAAAAATAGTTACTGACTAGAAAGTTTCAAACTCACAGTAAGTTATTTTCCTGCAAAAATTCAAAAATGAATAGTTACAAGTCTATATAGTGAATAGCTGTTTAATAGTTACAAGTCTATAAGCTACAAAACTTAAAATAATACTGAGCAAAGCCAGCACTGATATCCAGTGCTCTGTGTCTAGCCTTGCTCCCTAGCACTGTCCTTTCTCTATCAGCAACACTATTGTAAACTCTGGTTTCTTATACATATCACCCATTATCACTTTTGTCATCCATTTTCATAATAAGAAGAGAACCCACACTCAAGCCAAGCAGCTCTGCTGCAAGTAACAGCTCCTAAACTGCCTGCTAGTCCCAGTCCCAAGAGGGTCAAAAACAACCGGGCTGACATTATGCAAATAGGGCTCCCCGATTAACAGGTGTCATAAAAACTCCTGCGACAGGAAGAGGCCAACATGTAAATTGAAGTGTTTAACGGGCCACAGGAACTATGCTGGGCAGCTCACCTCTCTCTCTCTTGCGGTCACAGTCTCGGTCCCGCGATCTCTCCTTCCGATCCTTTTCTTCTTTGGATGAGGCATAGACGCCATGTTCTCGGCGCTCCCGCTCTCTCTGCCTACTGCGTTCCCGAAACTCTTCACTCACACCACCAGGGTGGGATGGAGTCTCTACCCGAGCAGGTCGATAATGTCTGAAGCAGGGAGGGTGACTGGTAAAGGGCCCCTCCACAGGAGGAAAACTTGCCCCCAATCCTCTGGCTGGCTGACCTGTCCTTTCCCACTTTATCTCCCTAGAATAGCAGGCTTACATCCAGCAACAACCCGAAGCATAGCTAAGCTCCATCATGTACTCTTCAGTCAGCTTTGAACATTCCCCACAAATCTGAAGAAAACATATACTAATGGGCACAGAAACAAGAGATGCATTGTGAAAAAATGCCATCAAGCAGAAGAAAAAAGGGTAAGCTGCATATTGGTGACATCTGTATGCATGTAGGAAATCTAAACAGGCAAGTAGAGATAGATATACAGGTTCTGCTCAGCAGTGGTCTGGACTAGAAAACATACCCCTATAATGCCATTCTATGCAGTTAAGAGAACCTTGTCTGTCTTGTTGATGCTGTGCCCAGTGCCTAGCAAAATGAACCTTTGATGAACAAATAAATGAATGTAAACTGACAAAAGAACAGGAAGCAAAACATTCCTAAGACAGCAGGGAAACTACTAACAGCATAAGAGGGAGTCTGACAGATGGGGCTTAACTAGGGGCTGAGAAGAAATAGAGTTCAGGCGCTGGATTCTGGGGAAGGATGAATGGTGAAGAAGCCACATGCGGTACGAAAAAACAGTGAAGAACGAAACTGGATTGATTCATTCAACAATTATTTATTGAGTGCCTTCTGGGAGCCCATCACTGTTCCTGGCAATAGAGACAGCAGAGAACAAGACAAAACTCCTCGCCCTCTTGGACTTGACACTCTAACAGAAGAGGCAGTGGTATAAATACCACCGTGACAAACACGAGGAAGGCACCAGCCTACACAGGGAGCCCTGGGCACCAGTCTCCGAGCGGGCTAAGGTGGAGGCCTGAGGAAGCGTGAGGGCGACCCCCGGCAGCCCCCTGGACCTCAGTGGGGCCGCGCCGGGCGGCAGGATCTGAGCAGGGCGAGGAGCAAGGCCTGGGCCGGCCGGCCCCGCACAACATCCCCGGGGCGAGAAAGGCACGTCGGGTGACAGGGCCCGGACTTCACACACCCGGGCCCGGACCCGAGCGAGAGACCGAGAACCGCCGCCTGGAGCCGCCGTGACTGGCGATGGGAGAGTCGGGAGGGAAGAGGAGACACCCACCTCACCACGGCCGACTCTCGGGGACCCCCGTCCCAGATTCTAGGGCTTGGGCGCCAGCACTCCTCGCTGAAACGGCCTCAGAGAGTCGGGAGCCACACTTCGAGAGCCGCCATGGTTGTCCCATAATGCCTTGCACGGCCCCCCGCTAGCCGCCCAAGGAGGCCATCCAGGGCAGCCCGGAAACGGCGGCTCCCGGCACGGACGTGCGACGGAACGCTCCGGGCCCGCCAGCCTAGAGCGTCTCCTCCGAGGCTCGGCCCAAAGGCGCCCACGCGCTCATCCCCTGCGCCTGTGCATTTTCTTTTTCCGTTTCCGTCTCCTTCAGGGAACCTTCGATGGTTGCTGTGCAACATTTGGGAGATGCTTGGGGTTAGGGCTGCTGTGGCGGATGGGACGGAAGAACGGAGCCGCCAGGGTCCCTACTCTCTGGACAAGAGGCTGGGATTGCTGGCGGTCGTGAAGTGGAAGAGGGAGGTGACTTGTACAAATAAAGTAAGTATCGTCTTCCCTAGCAGTTTTGGGCCAGGAGTAGCCCAACCACAGGCATTGTATAAAAACTATACAACGAGTATTTTGGAAAAATAAGGACGCACGCACCGACGTAAATAATCACCTGGCCGCTGGCAGAGAACCAGTGGCAGAGTTTGGGGATATTTATTTCCAGTTATTTTTCTACCAAAAATATGTACAGATGCATTATATGGATTTTGTACAAAAGTGGAATTACACTGTCTACTGTTTCATAACGTCTCTATCATGAGAACTTTTCAGTTGTGAACGGGCACATATAACACAATATTTAGTGGCTGTATAACAGCACTTTGCAGAATTGTACTTTTATTTCACCAATCCCCTATGGTGGCCATTTAGGTTGTTTCCAGTTTTAGACCATTATAAATATGATGAATACATATCGTACATAAATCTTTGTGCACATGCTTGATTATTAACTAAGAACTAATTCTCAATAATGGAACTGCTGGTCGAAGTTATTTCAACTTTCTCATAAAGTTTTGCTTCTCTGCATTCCAGAAGGGACTATGAATGCTTGCTCTTTCATTCACAGTCTTGCCATTATTGATCTTTTCCAATTTAATGCTATTTAATTGTCTTTTAATTTGCTTTTCCTTGCTTACTAGTAAAGGTTAACTTTCCAAATATATTTACCTCCTCCTTGGTGAAGTCTCTGTTGGGATCCTTTGCTTTGGACATTTTCTTAAGTGTGATCTGTTTCCCTCTCCTCCTTTCAGTATTTATCCATTCACTTGCCCTGTGACAATTTTGCCTTCTGCTCACTTCCTCCTGTTTATCAATAACATACAGGAGTTGCTATTCACTTGAATTCTAGTGGTAGGACTGATCCACCTTCTCTTCGGCTTTCCCTTCCATCAGGAATTTGTTCTGCTACTCACATTTGATGAAGTCCCTTCTTGCAACCAGATTTCCTGTTTAAAGTATGACCTCTTCCTGGAACAATTTAATTTCCTATATGAAGTGTTATTAATTCATATATTAAAATGTAACATCACAAGAAAGGGAGGGAGGGAGAGAGTAATCCTCCCTTTTCATAACATTAGCCAGCTTTGGAACTGAATTCAAAATACCAAGTATCTCAATGGAGTCTCCCATGAATGGACTCAAAAATGAAGCTTTTGATCGAAGACTTTCTCAACCATAAGAATAGGAGCTTATTGTAGTAAAAGGACTGGAAATTTGATGGCCTTGTTCATGTTGCTAAAACTGTAACTGTAAGCAAACTAATATGAAAATGTGGGGGTTAGACTAGGATTTGCCCCTTTCACATCAGTATTTTATGATTTGTGTGTGGTTTTCATACTCTTAAATTATCTGTTTGCCATGTGATGAGGTGCATCCAGTAAGATACCAAGAATTTTTAAACCAGGACTCATGATAATACAAATGTCCACTAATAAATGACTGTTTAAAAGGCGTGGTAAATGCATGAAATTGTATGCTGTTGTGACAAACGATGTGTGAATTTTCTATATAGAGATATGGGAAGATATATAGCTAAAGTGCAAATTGTAGAAGAGTGGGTAAGGTATGTGTGCTGGGCATCTGTCATGTGCCCCTCCAGATCCACTCTTCCTCCGCTGAAGTGCTCTGGGACCAGGAGGCTTGCCTGCCTCTGCTTCTTATTGGAGTCGGCCAGTGGGAACATTAGCAGGAGACCAGAGGGAGGGAGGAGAATGGTGGCATCCCTTAGCTGCAGGCTAACCTATGCAGCAGCCTTCTCCACTCAGCCATCTCAGCCACAGGATTCTGGTAACTACTCCCTCCCATGACTCCTTGAGGCCTAGGGGTGGGAATAGCGCCACCCTGTTACTAGTCCCAGAGTACAGCACTACACCTTGTTTTCTACAACTTGCCTTAATGAAAGTCTCTTCACATTACCAAATTTGAGGATGTCATCTCTTTCCTTGTAGAACCCCGACTTACAGAATAGGCTATCTTTTGGGTAAAAGAGTTAGTAGGAATGTATATTTGTATTTTCTTGTGAATGCATAGCAAAACTAGAAGATACATGAGAAACTAATGAAAGAGTTCCCTGGTGTGGGGAGAAATAGGGCAGTGGGAGCTGGGCTAGATGAGGGGAGACAGAGAGAAGGAGATTTTTCATAGTATGCCTTTATGTTTCTTTTTAAACTGTGTTCTTACTTGCCACCAGTTCCTGTATTTGGTGGGTTGCTTTTACTTTTTTGATACTACATTGTATGAATCCCTTTTGAAAGAAAAATAGTTATTACCTACTCCAAAAATTAATTTCAGGACTGACAGTGAGAATTAACATTTGGATTCAAGATGAGCTTCCTCTTGCCCAAGCTGACTAGCAAAAAAGAAGTGGACCAGGCAATAAAAAGTACTGCAGAGAAGGTGTTGGTTCTCAGGTTTGGGAGAGATGAGGATCCTGTCTGTCTGCAGCTAGATGATATTGTAAGTGAATTTTTTAGGTAAATACTTTCCTAAAAATCTACGCCTTCTCACTTCAACATCTGCAAAGTGCATGAAAAGGAGCAGGCAGGGCCCAGGGATATAGCTGTTCATTCGTTAACACATTTTCACTTAGAGTTGATCATGTGCCTGCCCTGAGCTGAACCCCCAAATCTGTGATTATGCTGATCCCCTTCTGGACGTCCTTCCCCACTGGCAGCTGTGGAAACTCAGTTTCACCACCAAGGCAATAGAAGACCAGAAACATTATTAACAAGCATCTATGAACATTATCTTATTTGGTGCTCACAGCAGTGAGATAATTACTGTTCCCAAAATGGGAAATGAGATGAATGCCAGGGAGGTCTGGTGACTTCCCAGACACAGAACCACTAAATTGAAGAGCTGGGATTTGAATTTGTTTTCTCTGCCTGAAAATATACTTGTCTAGTATGCTGGTGCTGCCTGATGAGAATCTCTGATTTCACTACACATCTTCACACTGATGAGTAGGGAAGGGAGTATGGGACACAGTAAGCTTAATCTGTCACCCTTTATTAGAAAGAGAGACTCTTACCCATGGTCTAAGACCTCTTCTCACCATTTCTGCTGCTGCACAGTATGGATCCAGTGCAGGAATCCTCATTGTTGTGATTAAAAATGGGTCTGTAATATATAGTAACCTTGGGCCAAGGTGCCAGAGGATTGCAACCCTCAGCTGTAGTGGGAGGGAAGATCACAGAGATCAAGAGTATAGACTCTGAAGCCAAGCTGAGGTCAAATCCCAGCCTCACCGCTTAGTAGCTGTGGCCAGGGACAGATTCCCTCCCTGTGGCTTGGTCTCCTCACCTATGAAATGGGCACTGCAATGTGCACACCTCCTAAGAATGCACACAGCAAATGAGCAGTAAGTGCAGAGCACTCGGACAGTCAGTGCCATGTCAGGGTTTGCTACCCTGGTTAGAATTTTGACTCATGGGGGTTTTGGAAGGGAAGATGGGGTAATCTCAGTATCTGTAGTTCATATTTCTGAGTGGTTTAATTTTTTCTTTTAAGTGAGCATGGATTTTATAAATCCATTCTTAGTCCAGGAACTTTTCCAAACAGAATACTCTATTCTAGTAAAAAGTTTCCGAGAAGAAACAGCAGCAACTCTCATATTTTAACCTGCATCTCTCTCCTCATTTACAGCTTTCTAAGACCTCTTCTGACTTGAGTAAAATGGCCTCTATATACTTGGTAGATGTGGACCAAACTCCAGTTTATACACACTATTTTGACATCAGTTACATTCCATCTACTGTGTTTTTCTTCAATGGGCAGCATATGAAAGTGGATTATGGGTAAGTTAGATTGACATGAAGTCATTGTAGCCTTAAAAGTTTCTTTGATCTAAGCAGTTTCAGCTCACCTATTGTCATGTGATAGTGGCTTTGTGAATCCTATATTGGTACTGTTTTCTCAATTGATGCACTCAATTCTCTTTTATTGAAGTATCATTGATACACAATCTTATATTGGTTTCAAGTGTACAGCACTGTGTTTCACCAGTTACCCGTATTATTAAATCCTCACCTCAGCTAGGATGCACTCTGATTTTTTTTTATGAAAGACTTTGGTGGAAAATGAGACAGTTTCCAGTACAATTGTTAAATTCTAACTGCCTACTTAAGTATGAAAGAATAGTACAGTTTGTGAAGCTTAACCACCCTTTTGTGTAGAAAATACAGAACCTTTTTAAGAGTTTCCCAGGAATTTCATTTAAAACAAAAATATGTCATTATTCTTAAACTTCTGGGACTGGTCAGCTGCATTTATAAAACTGTTCCTTCCAGCAAGCTGAGACATGCTTCTCTCTTAGCCAAGTTTCCTGTCTTCTGCCACACAGAGAATTTTGAAATCATTCTTCAAAGATGTCTGTCTCAAGAATATGTAACATGATATCTTTAATGCCTTCCACCAGCCAGCCAGCATCCCAATACTTAATATTTATTTTGAATGTACCCATAATTCTTACCATTTTTTACTGTGGCTGAGGTGTTCACTTATCTAGATTGGGTACCTGCTTTGTATTATCTTTTTGCAATCATGTTACATATTATCTATTTTAAAGCTATTTATTCTGCTAGAACACAGTTGACATAAGCATTAATTTGGTGCAGTCTTTTTAGAGGGTAGTTTTTTACACTACTTACCACCTTAAAAGTGTGTAAAAAACTTTAACCCTGCAATTGGATCTCCAGGAATTTATCTGAAGTGAAAATACTCATGCCAGTGGGCAACACTGGCTACATGGTTGTTCTTCCCACCATTGTTTAGAAAGCACAGTCCTTAGAAAGAACCTAGGTGTCCATAGAGTAATGCTGGATACGTATCAGTTTCATATGATTGTAGATGCTTGTTTAATGACTTTGAAGGAAAAATGTTACATGTTGAAAAAAAGCACACTGCCAAATAATTTGCGTGATGTGATTCCCATGACTGAAAGAAGAACTGTGCACACATACACACGCAATCGGAAGGATATACACCAAAATGTGGCCTTTGGCCTCACTAGTAATTTTTTTTCTGAAGTATTTTTAGAGTAAACATACTTGATGTTCTAAATAGTATTTTAAATAAAGAGTATCCAACACTCAGAAGTAAAACTGATGAGAACTCAGAGATGACGACTAGTTAACAAGTGCCTAGCCTAAAGGAGTAACAACAGCAAAGCTGTGCGCACCTGACGCCTGGGGAATTCTGGTTGATGGTGAGTTGAGAGGTGATTAAGAGTTTTTTGAAGGTGAAGCTTTTCACATGATCGTCCCCCTCCTCCACGCTACCCCAGGGACCCCCGGCACTGGGTTTAGTCATGTTTCAAATGGACCCTGTAATCACAGATGGACAGTCACTGCCAGGTTTGTGTCTTAAGTCTCCCTGACTGGAAGAAAGGAATGGGGCTGCTATTCCTTTTGTCTATCCTGAAGTAATTACTCGAAGTTCTGAGTGAGACTGTTTGTCTTCTGTGCCGTCTAGGTCTCCAGATCACACTAAGTTTGTGGGAAGTTTCAAAACCAAACAAGACTTCATAGATTTGATTGAAGTAATTTATCGAGGAGCAATGAGGGGAAAACTTATTGTCCAAAGTCCTATTGATCCCAAGAATGTTCCCAAATATGACCTTCTCTATCAAGACATTTAGTACAGTCACCCTGATCAGACTTGGAGAGAGAGGCCCATCTTGAAGCAGTACCTGAGTCCAGCTCTGCTGCTCTGGAGGCTCTGGAGTCCTTGAGGAACGCGGTCAGCATCCCAGTGGAGAAGAGCTGTGACTGTTCCAGAAAATACCTCCCCAAGTAGCAGACCACGCAGGCCCCGTGGTGCTCAGGGTGCCTAAGTGTGACTCCCCAAGAACCCAGAGCAGTCAAGTCAACTGCTCCATTTCCCCAGTGTGTTTTTTTATATTTCTCCTTATATTGTGCTTTTTCTTTATTCCTTGAAATAATATAGAATTCTTCTTAACACTGGCTAGTACAATTTAACTATGTTTATTTGACACACAAGTAAATAGTTCCCATAAGAGCAAAAAGACTTTCTACCCTGAATGTATGTACACACACCCCCTCACCTTCACCCTTGCCTATTATCCAGTCCTTGTTATTCCAGTTTCTCTTAGAATACATAATTCTCTACTGATAGTGGACAAGTTTGTTTTATTTTGGAGCCTTACTAGCTAGATTTGTAGAACAGTGTCCTTGTTTGCTCATTTTACTAGCTTTTATGTTATTTTATGTTAAATTTCCTAAGAAATGAGAACTTGAGCCTTTACTGTCCAGCACCCAATTTGAGCAAAATAGTTGACACCCCTTAGTAAACAGGAACAGCTCTCTCCCAGAAGTCAGAGTTGCACCCCTTTTTGAGGCAGAAAATTGTACTTCAAGGATTCAACTGGAAAGAGATGTCAGAACTATCAGGAAGAAATATCATTTTTCTGGTATTTGCCTGTTTTAATAACGTTAGGAAGAACTGCTGCTCTTCCAGTGTCTGCTGGCAAAACCTGCCACCACTGGGCAAGTCACTGCCTCTCTCAAAACCTCATGGACACTACTGGTACTGACTTTCCAGAGTGAGAGAACAGACGCAGGGCCAGAGGGCCGTGTGCCAGGCAGCATTCGACCTCCTGGGCAGCCGTCGGCCTCCTGGCCCACAGAGGCCCCGTCTCCACACTGTCACTGCAAGTGTGTCCCCCTGGCCAGGTGCTTCTCCTCCAAGCCATGTCTGCAGGGAGAGGTGGCCACACGACCTGGTTCCAACGAAGGTGGCATAGAAGGAAGGCTGCTGGGTGCTTTTGTGTCCTGCACTGATGGAAGGAGAGAGCCACTCCAGGAATAAGACAAAGCAAGGCCCTTCACCACCACCTCCACCTTCTCCTCTCCCCCACTTCCACGCACAGACCTCACCGCAGCCAGCGCTGGATGAGAAGTGAATGTGCTGAGAACAATAAAGAGCCTGGGCCCCAGGGATGGTTTTGAGCTGCTGAGTGAACTCTAGGCCTGCCTCCCCCAGACTTCTATGAAAGAATAAAACACCTTCACTCCTGTCACTGCGAGTTGGGTTTTTTGTCACTCACAGCGTAAATCACATAGTATTTGATGTGTGGTAAGTGCTCAGATGCCAGCAAAACCTCAGAACTTACGTACATAAAATTCCCTTACCCTCTTTCCTCCTGAGGGCTTTGCAGAATGTTTCTCCAAAGTCCTGATTTGTGTTTTTGTTCCTAACTTAGTTGCTTTCCATTCCACAAGTACTGATTGGGTCCATGCTGTGTGTCCTGTGCTGTACTAGCTGCTTCATAAATTTGAATGGCTCCCAGGTGGGAAAAAGGATGCCACGCCTGAGCCTCAAAGAAGAATAGCAGGTCCTCGCACAGAGAGGGCAAGGGCATTGAGGAGAGGGCCCCAGAGGGAGGAGGGCCCAGCAGCGGGAGATGGCAGGGAGGGTTCAGAGCCACACAGAGCAGTGTCACCAAAACCAGGGGGGAGCCCGGGAGGCAGGAGGTGCTGTGGGGAAGGAAGCAGAGATGAGTGAATCCAGACAGTGCCAAAGATGTTCTCTTACTATTTTCCCCCTGAATGGTGACCAGAAGCCGCGTAATACAATCAGGTTATTCTTCAAGAAAACAAGGTGCTCCTAGACAAAAAGGGTGTAACTGTACACTTTTTTATGTGTTTGTATTGTTTTCGGTTTCTGGCTATTAGCTCTTTCACAGGATCTAGACTATCTAAGCCCTTCATTGGTCTACTAGCTCTAAGTTGTTGAAAATTGTTAATGGACCTGGAGTGTGATGAGGACATCACAGGGAAGGGCAGGCCCTGGTGAGAGAGTGGTGACATCAGGTGGCGGTGTACAGCCTGAGAAGGAGAGGCCGTGTTTCGGTGGGACACGAGGTGGCTGCTGAAAGGTCAGTGTACCGCAGGCTCACCGTGAGGAAGAGCTCCGTTAGAACGCTCCTTCGGCTGGAAGAGCTCCTGTTTACAGAGGTCCTGGGACCTTTCTTCAGGGAGACCCTTAATAGCAAGACCCTGCTCTTTGTGAAATGGAGACTCAGCTCTCACTTGACTCCTGGAAAGGGTGAGTTTCCTCCAAGTGAGAAAAGCTACCCCTACTGAGGAAGAGACTTCAAACTCTTTACCAAGTTCTAGAATGTTATTGTCGGTAGGGACTTTAAGATAGTTTACAGTAGTCTGGTAAAAGCCCCTCACGGAGGAGACTGAGAACTGATGGGCAGGAAGCTTAACGCACTTGGCGTATTTATGACTGAGGCGTGATGTGGACCCAGCAAGTCCAGAGATTCTGCCTTTACGTCCTCTGACTGTTTTCTGAAGTACTGGCGTGTTGGAGCACAAATAACCTAAGTAAGGTCTGTGGCAGAACACTTGTTTTCCTCCCGCCTCAGCCGGCGGCTTCCTCCCCAGGCCTGCGCCCTTTCTCCTGAGCACTTTGAAGAAGCACAAGGATGCGGCCGGGGAACAGAGCTCAGCGTCTGTGTTCAGACACACCTAGACTCAGGCAGCTTCACCACTTAATAGCTGCGTGACCTTAAGCAAATGGCTTCACTTCTCCACCAAACAAGGGTAACAGTGCGCTTCCTGAGGCCTGTCACCTGGTAGGCACTCAGTGAGTGTGACCCCCACAGGGGGACAGTTTGTATCCCAGTGGCTTGGGGAGTTTCTGCCACACTCCCAGTAGACTACACCACTTGGCTGCTGCTGTACCATAAATGAGAGAATAACAAACGGCCCACGGCTAAAAATAGCACAGAAAGGAGTCAAAAGAGAGTTTTTATTGACTGACTCGGCAATGTGGGGCTGGACCCCATGGGCTTCACACCACGTTTTATCCCCTCCGGTCCCATCCAGTTCTCCCTCTTCCAGAGTGAAATCTCGCTCCCAGCCAGCCGTGCATTAATTTTCAGCTATGGTTTTCTGAACCCAGTCCAGGATGGAGGGCACCTTCACGTATACACTGTACTCAGCCACAGTGCAGCTCTTATCAAAGCTCAGGATCCCAGCTGCGTACCAGATGTCCTCATCCGTGTCATGAACAGCAAAGGCACTGCCCGCGTCGCCATAGCAGGTGTCCTCCTGATACTTGGACAAGCCGGCGCAGAAGGTGTGCTCGTTCAGCGCGGGCTGCACCCCGACGGGGCTCTTTGGCGTCTTCTTTTCGGGCACTGTGCTGCCTTCGTAGTGAATTACACATTTGTCTTGGTCAGCCACAGGCAGCATGACATACTTCAGATGCTCAGTAAAATTAAAGTTGACATTTCGCCCCCAGCCAGACACATAACCCACACGTCCCACTTCGCATAATCTTTTGAAGGCAGGCAAATGGGCATTACTTTCTCATCAATGGGCACCTTCTGCTTGAGTTTGATGAGCCCGATGTCCACCTCGGAGTAGTCAGGGTGAAGCACGACCTTCTCGATCTCCACCAGCTGGTGTTTCCCCACATAGAGTCTTAAAGTAGGGGCAATGTCTTTGGCTTTGGCTTCATCTGTATGTCCCAGGAAGAGATTTTTAGCGGTGGTCAAAAGCCACTGTTCATTGATCAGTGTGGCCCCTGAAGTGAGGTTATGGTGGGAGACCATCTTGGCCTGCCAGGGAAAGCTGCCTTTGGCATCCAGAGACCCGCCCATGATGCGCTGCACCTGATCCACTGGGTTCTTGGGCTTTCCGCACACTGTCAGAGAAAGCAGGACAATCATGAGCAGAGGTGCGAGTCTCCCGAGCTGGGAAAGGGGCGGGAGCACCGCGTGTTGCTGTCCGGAGTGTCGTTCATTTCTTCGGCGCGGGGAACATTTACATGCTCTGCCCTTACCACCTGCTCCTCTCCCTTCCAATATTTATAATTTAAAATTACGTTTTACTTTTCACATCACCAAGACAGAGTTCTATTTCCTGCTTCTTTAACTCAAAAGATTTTCAAACCCTGGTTGATTAATCGTAATCATATTTGCTGTATATTTAAACAATTTATCACAACAAAGGAATGTCCACGATCCTCTGAATTCACTGTGAGGGTGAGGAGCTCTAACTCATTCGCTCCGAATAAAGAGAGCAGAGATCTGTAGCAGCATTGGCTGGAACTCCGATTTTACAGATACTGCAGTTAGATCGAGGTGGGGTGGCAATTCCACCCCACTAGGAGCAGAAGAGAATAAGCAAAATCCTCATTTCAAGAGGGAAACGGAGACAGCACCAGCTCCTGCTGGTAACAAGAAACGAACCCAAACCCATCTCCAGCCTCTCGGGCCACACTCCCGCGCATGAAGGTTTCCTTATGCCCTCTCTTGACTTGTCCTTCCTGGAGCCTGCTTTACCCCAGCCCTGGGCTCTCCAGGCAGACACCTGTACACTGAGGGTCTCCTGGTCCTCTGGGGGCAGTGCGGACAGTGATTCAGTCAATGCCCTGCAGGCCCCATGAACAAGATCCCTAGTGAACTTCACTGTAGCATCACCACCTACTCCACCCGGCCCTTTGTGGTTCTCCCCAGTCCCTTATCTCGGCTCTTGTAGGCTCAGAGGAAACCGCACAGGAAGGATCCTCTAGGACATGTCAGTTAAGACGCCTGCCCCTGAACGAGCCCTCAGCACCCACCCACCCTTGGTCTGCTTCCCAGGGCCCCTGGCTTCCTACCTGCTTTGCACTCAGGAAGTTTCTCTCCAGTGACATCATTTACCCACTGCTTCTCATTGTTTAAGCTGTACACTCCTGAAACAAAATGAAAGAAACGAGCCAAAAGAGAAATTAAATCTGGACCTAGCATGGGGAAAGAAGGTATTTAAGGAGAACTGGAGAAGGAGAAGGAGGGGCAGGAAGAGGCGGGAAAGGGGAGGGAGGAACACCGTGCTAGGAGCCAAGCGCTGGGGGCGCCAGTGAAGCTCAGCAGGGCAGACCGGTGGCCACGGTGATCCTGGGGATGGTGGCAGCGTGGCCCAGGGCAGGAATCCAGGTTCAAGTCCTGACTCTCCCCCTTACAAGCTACCTGATCTGGGGCAAGTTAACTCAACCGCTCTGTGCCTCACTTTCCTCATCACAAAATGAGAATAACACCTCTTCAGTGGGGTGTTAGAAGACTAAGTGAGCATGTAAAGTCCTTAGAACAGTGCCAGGCGTGCAGTCCTCACGAGGCGAGGGCCTCCTGTAGGTGTAGGCCTACTCTGAGATGGGCAGGCTTCATGGCAACACCTGCCCTTGGCAAAGGAGGAGACTTGAGGCTGAGAAAAGTTAATTTCCCCAAAGGCCACAGCTAAAGGTGACAAAACCCATCAGGATCTAAGTCTCCTGGCCCCAAGCACGTGAGAACTTTCTGGCCAGCACCTGCCCCACCCACTCCAGGGACTGGACTGGGTGCAGACACTTGCCCAGGCCTTACCGTCTCCTTTGGTGTGCAGTTCGTAGTAGGTCTTACACCCATAGCGAACCAAGTGCTGCAGGCGGCCGTTCGCAATCTCAGGGGGCTTTGGGCAGCTGTTGTCTGCAAAGGGCAGGAAACAGGAAGAGGATGTTAATACCGGGAAACTGCTCTCAGAGACCCACGAGAAGTCAGATGAGAAGCTTCTCTGCACATCAACCACCCTCCACCCCAAATGGAAGCAAGAGGGAGGCAATCCTTCTTGGCTGGTTCCCCGGTGCTCTTCAGGGCACCAGAAGAAGACCAGACATTAGGATGAGAGGGAGAGCTGGGTCTTCCAAAGAGGGGGTGCAGTGGTGCTGGAATGTGCAGCTCCTGCCCGAACCCAGACCTGCCTGCAGTGTCTGTGGCCTCATTGCCGACCTCCACTGCGAAAAGCTGCCCGCAGAGCAGGAGAGCGACAGCAGCTCCAAGGGCTCTGCAGAGAGAAGACAGGAAGGAGCATGACTGCTTTCCCTGCTACACACACACACACACACACACACACACACACACACACACACACACACACACACACACACACACACACACACGGCAGTCAGAAAAGAAAATACAAGGAATTGCTAGGGCCAAGCAACCGCTCCCCACCACATACACACTTCAACAGCTTCCAGTATGCCCCGGGGCAGCCTTCAGAGAGCGACCACCAAGGCAGAGCCACGTGGGTATGTGGGCCTCGATTTCTGGCAGCATTCAGCAAACACTAAACTGTTACTAATTCATGAGCTCTCCAGCAAAGAGAAACCCCGCAGGCACCCTTATGGGACTGAGCTGCGAGGGTACTACTAATGAAATGTGGGTGACTTGAAGTAGGAAAGCGAGAATTTATTATGCTATTCTCTCTACTTCTTGAAATTTTCCATAATAAGAGGTTTTTAAAATATATAATCTAAAACACTTACATGGTTATTTCTATTACTTTATGACACTTTGCCTTCAGAAAATGGTATGTCAAACCCCAAAGTGCCAGAAAGCTACCTGGGGGACACTGGCATCAATGCACAGGCCACACTCAACCAGTTAATCATCTCACTGACATGTATCAGCTATTCAGAGATTATATTAAGTTTCTGAGATTATGTTAAGATATGTTACATTTCTACTGTTGTTATTTCAACATTTCAGAAAAATTTTTGTGGATACAGTCTAAGTGCTGTCACTCAAATGCATCACTGCTGGTCTGCCTAATTAGACATTTTTTTAAAAGAAAACAATTTGCTAACAAACATAATTCAGAATGCCAGGAAGTCTACCATGGAAGCTGCTGGCATCCCCTGCAATGACAAAAATGTCATACCCTCAAGGAAAAAGGTATACTGTAGAGTGAGTCACATTTCATGGGAAAGGCAGCACAGTCTGAAAGTATTTTTTACAAATGCAGAAAAGCAGAGGACTTAACACACCAAAGCCCTGAATTCACTAGAATTTAACCCTTGTGCTCTATCTGTGTTACAGTTTTGCAGCTCTCCTGTAGGCTTCTCCTATAGCGGGGCTGCCATGGAGATGAAAGACGTATGCAAGGAAAGATGACACACCCAAGAGAAAAGGGGCAGAGGGGCAGAGCTGGGGACTCACCTCATCTCAGGTCTGTCCTGCCGCTGGAAGAGCAGTGCAGTGGGGGGCACCTGCAGATCCTTTTATGCCTCCAACTTCTCAGCCCGCCCCTCCTCGATTTTGTAATGCCTGTGTCTACACAGCTTTGGCCTTGCTAAGGTCACTGGCATTTTCCGGGAACACAGCCACACACACCCCTGTTGAGAGCCGAGCTCTTGCTTCATGCTTGAGTGTCCCCTGGTATTCTTTTCCAAGCTCAAAGCAACCTGCCCACAGCATGACCCCACGTAGCGGCCAAAGTGTTTCCCGAAATCTGTGTCTCTTTGTTTTGGAGGGTTTCAGCACCGAACAAGAAAAAACTGCTCCCCTTTGGGTTATTTCCAACCCCTTATACACTTGCTGCAACCTGGCTGACACAGGGCTCTAAAGAAAGCATTTCCTTTTCACAATCATTTTCCTCACCCTGTGTTGACATCTCCCTATTACTTTAAAGTTCTTCAACCTGAAATCAGTAAAGTATATTTGTTGTGTCCTATTTCATTGCTCTTTGCAAGAAATCACACACCATGGTTAAAGCTGTGGTGTAGACTGATGCAAACCGCACTCAATGGCAGTGGTTCTCATGGCTGTATAGTCCAATTAATCCAAATAGGCACATGGGAAAAATCGATATGCTTCAGTCAAATATCTACACCTATGTATCCCAAGTACTAGTCAATTGAAATTTAACAGCAACTCAATAAAATCTTGCTTTGTTCATTTAAAAACTGTCAGTGGTTCTTAAATTAGAGGGTACAGAAGAATCACTGAGATATTTGCAGTGGCACTGATGTAATAGCAAGATAACTGGAAACAGCGCAAATTTCCATCAATAGGGGAATGGCTAAATAATGTGTGGTATATTTGAATAATGGAATACAGATCTCCCTCAGCTTAGAATGGGGTTACATCCCAATAAACCATTGTAAATTGAAAATATAAGTCAAAATGTATTTTATACACCTAGCCTAACTGAACATCATAGCAGCCTAGCCTACCCTAAACATAAACACTTACAGTAGCCTACAGCTGGGCAAAGTCATCTAACAAAGCCTATTTTATAATAAAGTGTTGAATACCTCATGTAATTTATTGAATATGGAAAGTGAAAAACAGAATGGTTGTACGGGTACAGAGGGTTGTAAGCCTATTGGTCGTTGGCCCTTGTGATCACGTGGCTGACAGGAGCTGTGACTTGCTGCCGCCGCCCAGCACCAAAAGAAAGCATCCCACCCATACGGCTAGCCCGGGAAGAGATCCAAATTCAAAATTTGAAGTATGGTTTCTACTGAATCAGTATTGCTTTCACATTATCGCAAAATAAAAATACCCTAAATTGGGGGTGGGTTGAGAGAGAGAAGTGAAGGGGATTAAGAGGTACAAGATAAATTATAAATAAGACACTGGAATGTAATATGCAGCATAGGAAATACTGTCAAAAATATTATAATTTGTGTGGAGACATAGTAACTACAGGTATCATGGTGAGCATTTCATAATGTCATAAATGTTGAGGCATGTTGTACACTAAAACTAATATAATATTGTTTGTCAGCTATACTTCAAAAAAATCAGAAGAAAAATCATGTCAAGTCATTGTAAGTTAGAGACTGTATCATACAGACATGAGAACAAATGTACTGTGAAAGAACATGGGCAATCTTACACTTTTGGAAGAAAACTACAGCGTCCAGGAGATTACATTAAGAATGATTCTTCCTTAGGCTGTTGACATGGATGGCCTGGGTCGCAGAAGGTTCACTGCAGGAGGGTAGGCTTCACCTGCCACGGTTTTCCCCAATTACTACACCTGGAGGAGCTTTTTTCAGCTCAAGACTTGATGAAAACCACAGAAAGTTTTTCTGAGAATTACATGCCACGCCCCCCCACCCCCAAGGAACGGGAACTGTGCGCATTCCACTCCAAATGGACGAATAACTAGAAACAACTAAGTATGAATGATTTACACCCGCAGTTCTGATTTTAGTTTCTATAAAGGAAATGGTAAGGACTGCAATGCTATATCCAGTCCCTGGGCTCGTTTTCAATTCTGACCCTACCACTTATCAGCTAGCATGTCTCAGTTTCCCCATTGAGACAATGGGGCAAACTTATACCCAGGTCATTGAATTGTTGTGAGGATTAGTACACAGTAACTGTTCAGACAGTGCACGGCACCCAGTATTGCCTATTTATTATTGAGATCCAATCTAGATTCTGGCTTTTGCATCATTCAAGTTTTCTTTGTACTCACCTTTGCTGTTTAAGGAAGGTGTCACTTCATTCCACTTTTATCACTCTTTGCAACAACTCTTCTATATTGCCCATGCACTTGCTCAGGGGTCTGATGCAGTACCAAGATTATTAAATGAATGAATGAATGGATGGATAAACAAACAAACAAACAAACAAATAAATAAATAAATAGCATGATTCTTCTTTTTTTAGAGCTCAAAAACCAAGCAAACCAAGCAATGGATTCTGGAATATGACACCAAAATAAAAAGCAGCAAAAGAAAAAAGATAAAGTGGACTTTATCAAAATTAAAAACTTTTGTGCATCAAAAGACAGTATCAAGAAAGTGAAGGGCCAATCTATGAATGAGAGAAAATATTTACAAATCATATTTGATGAAGATTAAAATCCAGAATAAACAATTCCTACAACAACAAAGACAAACAATACAATTAAAACATGTGGAAATGATGAACAGACATTTTTCAAAAGAAGATAAACAGGTGATCGATAAGCACATGAAAAGATGCTCAACAACATGACTGGCAGATGTCATTAGGGAAATGCAGATGAGAGCCCGGAGACACCGCCTCACACCTACTAGGATGGCTACAATGTAAATACGTGTGTGTGTGTGTGTGTGTGTGTGTGTGTGTGTTGGCAAGGATGTGGAGAAACTGGAACTCCTGTACATTGCTGGGAGGAATGCAACATGGGCTGGTCTCTGTGGAAAATAGTACGATGATTTCTCAAAAAGCTAAGCACAGAATTGCCATATGATCCAGCAATTCCACCACTAGGAATATTCCCCAAATAACTTAAAACAGGTACACAAATAGATACTTGTACACCAGTGTTCACTGCGGCATTATTCCCAGTAGTCGAAAGGTAGGCAGACTGTGAGTGTCCTTCAAAAGTCGAGTGGATAAACAGTATGTGCTGTGTCCATACAATGGAGTATTACCCACATACAGAAAGTGCTGACACAGGCTACCCCATGAATGAGCTTTGAAAACATGCTAAGTGAAAGAAACCAGATGCAAAAGGACAAATATTCTATGATTCCACTTGTATAAAATATCTAGAAAAGGCGAACTCAGAGACAGAAAACAGATTAGAGGTTACCAGCGACCGTGGGGAGGAAGAATGGGGAGTTACTGAGTACAGAGTTCCTGCGGGTAGTGATGAAAAGGTTTTTCACATGGTGATGATGGTTACACAGCGTTGCAAATGTAATTAATGCCACTGGATTGTACACTTTAGAATTGCTAAAATCAGAAATGTTATGTTTTATATTTATTATCACAATAAAATTTCAAGAAAAAAAGTAAATAAACCTTTTCTTGGGGCCAAAAATTGTAAAAGTGAGCAAAACTCGACACTGGGAAGTGACTGGTGGTTACCATGGGGGAGGCGTCAGAGTGGGTAAGTGGGGAGAGTGAGGGGAATAAAGAAGCACAAAAATTCTTGGTCATAATATAAGTTGGTCAAGGGGATTGTAGTAGAGCACGGAGAATATAGCCAATGATTCTGTAACATCTTCCTGTGTTGGCAAATGGTAACCACACTAGAGGGGGTGAGGATTTAATAACGGGTAACTGTTGAACCATTGTGCTGTACAACTGAAACCAATATAAGAGTGTGTATCAATGATACTTCAACTTAATTAAAAAGCAAGCAAAAGGGGATTATGGGGTATCATGATGAATGCACATGGTGTGAGGGGTCACAGGGAAGACAGTGTAGCACAGAGAAGACAAGTAGGAACTCTGTGGCATCTTGCTACACTGATGGACAGTGACTGCAATGGGGTATGAGAGGGGGACACGATAATATGGGTGCATGTAGTAACCACATTGTTTTTCTTGTGAAACTTTCATAAAAGTGTATGTCGATACCTTAATAAAAAAATTTAAAAAAAAAAGCAAGCAAAACGAAGCCATATATTGTACAGGCATAAATACCAAAGAAACAAAAACTATACTTTCTTAAATTTTAATGGAATGAAAAACAAAACACAAAATGTTACGTCTTATAGGGAGGCAGAAGGAAAGCACAAGACAGAAGCACATGGGTAAATATAAACATAAACACACTACTGTTAATGATTCAGCTTTTGGGCTAGGTGGTAGGTTCACAAATGCACATTTCTTTATTGAGGTTTAGTTTTAAGTTTATACCTATCTATATAGATACATATATATAAAGCATATATAATATATATATACATACATATACATTTATATCACATATAGTAGTTATAGGTATCAAATAGCATTTAAATATATGAAGGAGGGAGAATCACCTGACACAGTTATTAAGAAGCAAAGCTCAGGTTTCTCCTTCCAAAAACTTGATTCCATAGTTCTAAACTGGGTCTGAGAATCTGCACTGTAAACGGCCATCATTTCTCCCACCCCTGTACACACGCTGCAGTGCGCCCACAGCTCTATGGGCCCCTGGAATGGAGGGCGAGGCTTTCTCTCTGGGCTGGAGCCGTCCCTCCTAAGGTACCTAAAATGAGACATTTCTCACAACCACTGTAGAATAAATGCTTACCCACGAAGTACACGAAAACTCGCCTTTCTCCTATGAACAAAACCTGAACTGTGTTACAACTGACTTTTGCGTCGAGCAGCAAGGGAGCTCTCACAGCCCGCCAGCCTTGGGCACCCTTTATTAACTTGACAATGAAGAGTATCCAGCCCACAGGCCTTCTCTCTTCACTGGGAATCAGGATGAGACAAGATGAGCAGGTGGCCAGTGAGAAGCCTCAGTGCAGCCAGCCACACGAAATAAATGCATTTTTAAGGAGAACAGAAAGCAGAAAAGCTTTAAGGATTTAAGGTAGGACAACAGTTGGCAGAGGAGCTGGAAGGGTGGGG